TACACACAAAATTATGTCAAAATGGTCGTCCTGGCGAGTATCCTCATAAGCACTGCCGTTTCTTTCTTAAATTAGTGTAACAGTTGTGAAAGAAAACGCATGTGTATCAGTATTGGATCCGTGAAATAGGTCTTGTGACCACAGCCTAATAAAGCTGTGCCATCTGTCATTAATGTTAATCAAACAACAAAAGACAGAGAAAATCCCTCACTGTTCTTGACTAAATAATGTTTTGTTAAATAACTTTAATGTCAATTTAGGCCTACAGTTTTTTAAATTTCTGTAGCCTATTTAAAATACGTTCATAGTTTAGAAAATGTAGTTAATATTTGCATCATTGATGATTTATCTTATCCACCCGCGACCCACCCGCAAATAATCAGAATGCATTTTTTTATTACCCAACCCACGGATTATCCGCAGCACCCGTGGATATAACCGCCATCCCCGCATCACTAGTCTCGTCATTATTTAATGTATGTTTGAATACATTTGTCATGAAAACAAGTGAATAGTTAATTTGCAAAAACAGATAACTGTTTTTAAAAATGTTCAAAAATCATGTTTTTTTTATCCTGCATTCCAGTTAATATCAGTCAAACTTATGTTATCTGTTTTTGCAAAACGTTTTCATTCATCTGTTTGCCAAGTGTTTGTCATGTTTTGACTATAAAGAATAGTTTAAAGTGCCCTTATTATTGGTTATGAAAGGTTCATATTTCAGTTTTGGGAGTCCCCAACAACAGGTTGACATGCATGCAAGGTCAAAAAACACATTCATTGTCTTATAATATGCATTTATTTTTACATTACTTGCTCAACGACTCCCAAACGATTCGCTCAATGATTAATTTTTCAAAACCCCTCCTTTGCGTGACGTTAATCTGCGGTGATTGGTCCGTTTGGTCTCATTTCTATTTTATCTTGCCTGCAATGCCTGATAAAGCAGCGTTTGTGAGCGCAGTGCTGCTTTGTGTACCACTCCAAAAGCGGCACCTAGTGGCAAATAATGAATTTGCATTTTCATTCAGACCAACACGAAAAGACCAACAAGTGGACGGGCAATATGCTAATGTTTCATGTTGACCTCGATGAAACGGCTTTGGATTCATTTGAAAAATGACTCGTTTCAATGATTCATTCTTTTGAGAGACAATAACTTTGTACACGGTGCACTTTCAGATTTAAAACTTTGCAGGATGTTTTCATTCACTTAGAGCTGTGTTACACATTGCATGAAAGGTAATTCTCAAAAAGACATAATAGGGGCACTTTAAAACCACAATTAACTGGCTGGTTTCTACAGCTTTTACCCAGGAGCGAAAATCTGCCTTTAAACTTGAAAGAAATAAAAATTATGACATTTATCATGATAATTATCGATGTTGACTGAACAATTTTATTGTGATCAGTTTTTGGCCATATCACCCAGCCTTAGAACAAATTCTTAATTTGTGGTCACAAAATATATTTTGTCTTCTGCATGTCATGTGTGAGACTTTGTGTATTTGAGAGCAAATAGATATCAATATTGATGCATTGTTTGTACATCATGGTAAATATAACTTTTTCACCTTCACTCTCAATCTTGAGGTGTAGGGGCCGACCGATATGTGATTTTCAGAGCTGATGCCAATACCGATTATTACAGATCAAGTAGACCGATAACTGATATAGTTCTGGTGTAAAAATTAATTTAATTAATGTAAAAAAATAAGAATAACAAGGGCTCTGACAAAAACTTTCTTTAAATGCTTTTAAATTATCGGCAAATCGGTTTTGAAAATGACTTATACAGTAAGCGTAAAAATGCCTAATATCGTTGTGGATAATCGGCCAGGCCCCTATAGAGGTGTTGGAGGTGAGAAGGTGAGTAAGACTAAAAATAAACACTGAGACCTGCTTCATTAACTGCAGACAACCTTACTGGACCATCTCCAGAGAGTCTGCTGCTACTATATCAGCTGTGTTTCACACGTTCACACTGACTGTGTGTGTGTGTGTGTCGCTTATGGAGAATTTTCTTCTCACTTGTGTAAACTGTGACAAGACCTAAAAGCAGACAGAAAAACAGGTCAATAAATGAGTTTGTGCTTTCAATTCAGTATATCAGTGAACTCATTGAGATGTTAGTTGAGCTCAGTGCAGGTTTCATTTATCAGAGTGTGAAGCTGTTGTGGAGGGAAAATGGCGAATAAGTTGCTGATGGAAACATTAGCACTTCACATGGCGATTCGAGCCTCTGATGCGTGTTTCCCCGCGTATCCCCCGGGCTCCCACGGCTCAGCTAATGTGCTGGAGGAGGGGTGGAAGCCCTTCAATTATAGATGTGTGTGTTCATGCAGTGTTTGTGTTTCCCCCAGAGTGCTTGCTAAGCATGTTTGCATTGGGAAGGCCAGTACAGATGTATCCTGTTATCTCACTTGTAACTGTGCCCACTCTTGAAACAGCTTTTCTTAAACTGTCTCACACAACTGTAGCGCCGGACCATCAGGATGAGTGTGTGTGTGTGTGTGTGTGTGTGTGTGTGTGTGTTCCTTTGGGTCTAATTAAGCTGGTCAGAGCATCTCCATGCTGCATGACTAATCAATACTGCTGCAGGAAGACACATGCAGAGTCTGTAACACATACAGTAGGACACACATTCACACTCATGGTTACACTGTACTCACAGGATGTCCAAAACAACATACATTATACTTTCCTCCTCAAAACAATTGCACATTTGAACAGTGCATTTCATGTAGCTATAGCACACACAAGCTTAGGGTTGCCAGTTCCAATTATAGCAACTGAAACACTTCTTCCAGGAGCACTTGACTAACTATCATTGTAACAAGAAGTATGCTTCAATGTATGTGCACTTGTTGTGTACTTCAAATTCCTAAATGTATATTTAAATAAAAAACTGTACTTACAGATCATATCAATGAAATAAAAAGCCACATACACTCTTAAAAATAAAGGTGCTTCACGATGCCATAGAAGAACCTTTTTGTCTAAATGGTTCCATAAAGAACCTTTAACATCTGAAGAACCTTTCTGTTTCACAAAAGGTTCTTTGGGGCGAAAGAAGGTTCTTCAGATTACAAAAAGGTAAGAAAGAGATGGTTTTTTAAAGAACCTTTGACTGAATGGTTCTTTGTGGAACCAAAAATGGTTCTTCTATGGCATCGCTTGAAGCACCTTTATTTTTAAGAGTGTAAGTGTACTTAAAGACAGCACACTTTCATGACCGTTTCTTAAAATACTTAAGTAAACATTTAAGTAATAATGTCTAACTATGACTAACATACTAAAGCACATGTAAAGTACTTGATTATAATTTTAATTGTAGTGTGTTATTCAGTATGAAATTTAAAGTTAATATACTTTAATTGCAATAAATTGCTACTTCATTTTTACAAATTTGTAATTAATTACATTTAAATACATGCATACAAGTTTCTGTAGAAATGACATAAGTATATTTTAGTTTACCATAAATGTTTGTCAGTACATCTAGCAGCACACTTTTAACCAAAAGCGTGTCAACAACAACAAATCTCATCTAACTGCATTTAATATAAATTTAAACTATAATACCTTTTCATTTCATTTTAACATTCAATTAAGTGTTCAAAAGCGTTACATTCAGTATGTTCTTAAAGTATGTTATTTCTGTAATAGGTATAATTAATGTTTAGAAAAAATGCTTTGCACTTATATTCTGTCATTGGAATTTGGTCTGTTAAGAACACTCATATTTTTATTTATAAGTCAGTTTGGACTACAGTATCTGTTAAAATATTATTTCTGACATATATTATTGCTGTTTAGTGATGACGCTACGCTTATGTATTATGTTGCATGCATCTTGATATTGCGTTTTACAATTGTAAATTAATTCGATGAATTGTCAATTAATTCAAAAAGACTTATAAATCTGTCTGGAACTCATGACAGTTATTCGTTTATGCATGCCACAATTTGTGTTACATGGGATTTAAATGAGTGTAAACTGTTTTTTTTTTCATGTGGATGTGTCAGTTAAAAATGCCATTTGAAACAAAGTTTTGTTGTAATACATTTTCATTTAAAAAAAAGGGAAAAAACAGAAAGAACATTCTACTAAAATATCATTGTTTTTGTTTAGTATGTAGGTTGGGGCACAGGCCTATTAAAACTATAGTTAATTAAATCATTAAGTTGAAATGGAGTCCGAACCTGAATCATTAAGTTCCTTGTGATCCCCAACCCTAGTGAAGCCTGTAACTCAAGAATTGTCATACGGCCCATAGAGCGATGCTTAATGACACTAACAGGGTGAAATACATAATGATCCTTGCGCGATGCTCATTGGACAGTTTCCCTGATCAATGACCATCCAATTTCCAACCTCTAGTGTCATTCACAACCCATGCATTTTATTGCTGTGGCCGTAAGAACCCATTGAGGAGACAAGATGCGCTGCTTGATTTGTCAATAAAAAGACCGAAAAGGCCAATAAGCTGGAAGGAAAAAAGCATACATAAGAAAAATGGCTTGTTCATATAAAGATTGCATTTTTAAATAGTCTATAGCTGGAAATGTCAACCTGAAATGAAAATGAACATTAGTTATTTAATATTCAAGGAGTAACATTAAAAAAAACAACATTTGGCATTACAAATGATTTATCTGGGTGGTTTAAAAAAATATATAATTTACAGGTAATAAAAGTAATTGATATCACCAAGCCCTTTTAAATGTATTTCATTTTAAATACATTTTATGATTGCATATTATAATTGTAGCTAAAGAGACTGAATACATTGTTGCATTAAATGTTTTCAATATTTCCCACATATTTCGTAATTGTTGCATCAGTGATTGCGACATTAAGTCTTTAGTGAACTGAAACAGTGACCACAGAGCCAGTATGCAAACTGAACTGTGAGAAATTGGAAATCTTTACACTGCTAATGAACTCTATGACCTCTGTGTCATCATGTTTCTAATTCTCACAATTTGTGTTTCAGGTGAAAGTGCTCAATAGTTTGGCTGCACAAGGATTCACTGGTCATGCTGTGCTTTGGAGGGACAAGAAGAGACGCTAAATAAGAAAGGACGAGAGAGTCGAGAGAGGAGTCATCAGACAGCAGCAGCTATCATGTCTCGCCATCAAAGCCGAGCCACCAGCCTGGAGGAGAAGGGAGCCACGCCCATCCACAGGAGCTCCACCCCCTTACACAAGAGCTCCACCCCCACTCACAAAAGCGCATCCTCTTCCTCTTCATCTCAGAGAGACAGTCGACAAGTAAGACCTGACAGAGTTTGTGCTACAGTGACTGCGCACATTTTCAGAGTCATTCAAGAATTAATTTTCAGATTCTTTTTGTCCATGTGGACTAAAAAAAAAAAAAAAAACTCATCAACAAAGAGTTATAAGGTGTGAAATCAAACCAACCAACTCCAAGATGAATCAAGACTTAAGCACTTTCAAGTGGGAGTTAACTATTCATCTAGGCACTGAAAATAATTAGATTCACATTGTTTTATAGTGATTAATAATAAAATAAAATTAATAGAAAAAAATCTGTGTATATATTAGGGGTTGAACGACTTCTGATTTTTCAGATTTTTTAAAGTCGACTTTTATGTGCTGAAAGTCGAGTCGAAGTCGACTAGTCGCTGATGAAGTCATTAATGAACAAACAAGTCTGTGATAAACACCTTGTGCACAGCTATGGCATATGACACAGCGCTGAATGCGGCGTTTGGCTGTGGGGAAAAAAGATAGTCGTCCTACATTTAAAAACACTTGTTGATATCACGTTCGAGTTCATGAGTTCACCTACCAATGTATGAGAGGAACACAGCTTTCACTCTCAACCAAACTAACATTACTAGCCAATCAGAGGTTTTTGCTCTTATAAACACGAGATGCGCATTTATTTATTTAGTCATTTAGCAGACGCTTTTATCCAAAGCGACTTACAAATGAGGACAATAGAAGCAATCAAAACTAACAAAAGAGCAACAATATATGTGCAAATGACAAGTCTCGGTTAGCCTAACGCAGTACACGTAGCAAGGTATATATATATATATACATATACATATTATACACACATATACAGTGGGGAAAAAAGTATTTAGTCAGCCACCAATTGTGCAAGTTCTCCCACTTAAAAAGATGAAGAAAAACAAGTACCGTATTGGCCCGAATATAAGACGACCCTGATTATAAGAAAACCCCCCTTTTTCTAGATGTACCTTTTGGAAAAAGGCTTTTTAAAAACCAAATCTTGTTTTTTCTCAGTAAAACATTTTGTCTTCAATTATTTTCATATTGCATATTTTTCCTATTTAAATTTTTGTTTTGAAAGTATAATAAAAACTGGTAAACTGTACCAAAAATCACATTAAAAAAATATACACTTTTTGATATACCATTAAAAAAAAGAAAACAGGTAGCCCATCTGAATTAGGACATTTAGGCTATCCATCTAATCCACTTTCCTGCAGAGTTTAGCTCTAACCCTAATCAAACACACCTGAGCATGTTAACCAATGCTAATCAATGTCTTTGCGATCATTAGAAAATCACAGGCAGGTGAGTTTGATCAGGGTTGGAACTAAACTCTGCAGCGCATTGGCCCTCCAGGGCAAGATTTGAGGAACCCTGGTCTAGACCCTGAATATAAGACGACCGCGTTTTTTCAGATGTATTTCCAAGAAAAAAACATCGTCTTATATTCGGGTCAATACGGTAGCTTCATATCTTTGCTTGCAGACATATATTATTGTTTGGAAATCTATCCACGTGAATAATGTATAAGGAAAAATCCCTCCAAAAGGAACGGACAACAGAGAAAATTATCTGGGGAAAATGTCAATCTCATTTCAAACAAGTCTGCCATCTAGTGCTGCTTCTAAGAACGCATCTAATGTTGTTGTATAACATTTTAATGCAAAAAATGTTAATAGAAGAACCGGGAAAATTACTGTTTTCAAGCAGGTTTCCCCCAAACACTCCTGCCATTGGCTGTTTTAAAGCTGCTGTGTTACACGCAGTTCTGTCTTAGCCAGGTTGAGTTGAAGGTGATGGTCCATCATCCAACAACAAATGTCTGTTAGACATGCTGAGATTTATATTTATATTTAATTATATATTAATATATAATATTTTAAATACAGTATTATATAGAGACCTGATTACTGCTTTGACAACTTTTCACCAACTTGCTAACAAATTCTTTGAGGATTTTTCTAGCTGTGATTTTTAATATCTTATTATTTAATTGGACTTTACAAGATTTTGGATAAAAATGCAAAATAAGTTTTTACTGCAAAGTAATGAGTGTGTTTGGCTCAAAAAACTAAAAAACTTTCTTTGTGACTGACTGAAGATCATATGGAATGTTTACTGTTGCATAATGTGTTATATTTCACATACCATTTAAAATGTGTAATATTTGTATTTGGTGTGTACTGTGCAATATGCAGTAAGCAGTAGGTTAGTACTCCATTCAGTTTCAGGACCATGTGACGGTGCAGAGACAGAGAGATGGTCACATTCCTCTCAACTGACCTGGTTGATCAAAGCAAGGCATAATAATAAAGTCTGATCCACAGCCAATTACAGCTAAGAACTGTTCACTTAGGCAGGAAGGGACTGCTGGACATGTGCAACAACCACCCACAGTTGTTACGGGACGGCTAAATCAATAAAATTACTGTAATAGATTGATGTTCAACAAAGTAGGAGCTTATTCAAATAATGACACAGCACTCTCCACAAACAGTGCAAGCGATAGTGAAGAAATTAATACATATTTTTGTATAGACTTTGTGGTTTCCGCCATTATTTTACCACCAATAAAGTGTATACACATTTTATATACACCTTGTATACATGCATTGTTTTTAATTAAAAGTTTTAGTTTTAATGAATAGTACTTATGTACTGATATGTTTATGATGATGATGTCATGTTATTAGCCTTAGCCTAATAAGAAGATATTGATATATAGATAGAAGATATAATAAGCCAACATCTTGAAGTCACATAACTAGCTGAATAATACACAATTTATTATATCTTACTCCCCTTATATCCAGTATTTTCACTAACAGAATAAAATATTCAATAATTAGCTCTGCATTAAATAAAAAGAGTGGTGGCTACAAAATATAATACAGCTAATGTGAGAGCGGTTCACTCGCACTGACCGATCAATACAGATGAATACTGATTAATACACTTCAGCAAGAGGGCAAATTAACCTCACCTCTGTCAGTTGTTACATGGTGACAGTGGGAGCAGAATGTTAGTTGTCGTTAATGTAAACTAATTAGCGATGTTTGCTAAGGCAGCTGTCACCGTTCTGAATCATACTTCAAGTTCATTTTATTAAGTAAACTCAAGTAATGTTCAAGCATATTTTTCTAAGTGTAAATAAAAATCAGTGTATAAATCAAGTGTACAAAATCAATGTACTAACATGTAAGTTTACACTTTCAATACTTCTTGAGACTAAATTGGCCCACTTTTTAGTTTATGAACGTATACTTTTAAGTGTACTTCAGGTGTAATGCTAGTAAATTACAGTTTTCAGCTATATTTCTTTTGTATTGCAACTATACTGTGAACTACGCTACAAGTGAACTTACAGGTAGACTATCTACTTCATACCCACTTTTTAGTTTATGAATGTACAGTTGAAGTATAATCTCAGTAAACTATTAGTTTAATAGTTTTTATACTTTATACTATACTTTATAAGTTCGGCACACATAGGGTTCACGGATTAGTTGCAAAGTTTAAACATCATGGAGAGAAAGTGTATAATTTGCATATGTTTCTAAGTCTCTTTCACATTTCCTTGCGCTTGAATGTAGATTGTAGCGTCTGGACCACTCCAACACACAATATATATTTTGTTAGCTAGATTTCACAAATACTTTGTAACACCCCAGGACGCCGAACAAGACCCTGGTTTCATGGTAACCCGATACATTTACAACCTTGTGGAATGCGAGCCGGCTCTCAGCTGCTTTCTCCAGAGCTAAGGGGTACAAATGCACAGGAGAAATGGACTGTTCTACTAATTAATTCATAGGAAAACCTTCTTTGAATGAACACCCATTTTCTTCAGGCCATTGTGTATATTATTGCTGTGTTGTATTTAATCTGATCTGCAGACAAATTATCTCACAATATTGTTTTGACAAGTATTCTCGTAAACACAGTTACTTAAGTGAACATAAACAGATTTTTTTTTTACGTGTATCATTATATTGGATCCAAAAGCATCTTAAAATCCGTAATATGATCTGAACCATGAGTTTTGTGATCCGTTGGACCGCTATCCTGCATTTTGCAATTCACAAATCTTTTGAATGTCATTGTTAAGGACATAAATGAGAATTGTTCACTTGATTAAATTACTGTGCAGAGTAAAGCCTAATCAATAGTAAAAAGGCAGAAATGCCTTTGGTTATTCTAAAATGCTGATTATATATGTATAAATGAATATTCCAATAACTGTGGATTTTGTGCAAATCTTTTTCAGAATAAAGGATTAACCAGAATATGCAATTTATTCTGCAGGTGTTGTGCATGTAAACATTATTAAATGGGCAAGCAGCACTCATGTTCTCATCTAAAAGTGTGTATATCTATTTATAGGAATAGTCCTCTCCCATCTCATGATTTGTGTGTTTCGCTCTGTAGAGCCTCACTGGTCTGATGTCTGTTTAATGATGTTTCTAATGAGTTTGGCATTTTGATCAGTTGGTGAAATTAGCCGTAAACAATTTCAAACTAAGATCTTTTTTTTTACTGTGATGTTTCCCCCCCACCACACAAACTAATGTAGCTGCAACAACACTTCACTGTGTATATTCATTCATTCGTATTCATACTAACACTCTCACTGTTTTCATCTCGTTTTTCCCTTTGTAGGAGACTGATAGTTGGGAAATCATCGAGGGGCTAAGGATTGGTCAAACTCATATCCAGAGACCAGAGAAACATGAAGGTTTTATGCTGAAGAAGAGGAAATGGCCTCTGAAGGGCTGGCACAAGGTTGGAAATGACTACCACCAGCTGGTTTCCGCTGGTCAGGGCTACGTTTCCAACTATGGTCGAAAGTTCCATTGTTACCAACATAGTTTAACGATTCAGTGTTTCCCGAAACCATAGTTCAAACGAACATTTGCAAACAGCGTCGCAAACTTATGTGGTTGGAACTACAGCCCTCCACCTGTGGTTAGAAGCATAGTTTCTTGTTAGTAAGACATGTGGGCTTATATAAATGTGGGCTTGTGGCTTTTGGGCACAATAAGCAAGCTAACATGCAGTACAGTCTAATTATTCCATTCTATTTAAATATTTATGCATTTTAATCTATGTATTTTTGTGCGTCCTTAATAAGCCCATTTTTGAAGAGTGCACATGTGCATAAATTCCTAAGGGGAACTTATAAGAGGGAACCTGCGATGAATCAAACGTCAAATAAAGCAACATGACGGGGAACAAAAAATATTAAATTAGTCATCAGGTGCCATGTTCAATAAAGCAGATCTCTAATCGGTTAAATAGCAGATGTTATTACTCCACCACATGCGTGTGACGTCATTAACAATGACCCTAAATTGTTGAACTAGTGTGGTTCAAACGGCGGAGATGCGACCGTGTCGTGACTAGCAGGTTTGTTTCCACAACAATGCATTGTACCATGTTGGTTAATCAGCGAGTTACGTTGTTGTATGGGAAACGCACCCCAGGCTGGTTAAACCAGCTGAAAACCAGCTTTGCCAGGCTAGGAGACCAGCTTAAACCACTTAAGACCAACAATCTTGATGTTTATTCTGGGTGTTGATGAACAGTGTTTTACTTATATTTCAAACTTTATTCCTTACAATTTGTATTTACAGTAAATATTAATTAGATACTGTTTTTTTTCTCTTGTCTTCTACACAGCGATTTTTCATTTTAGATAACGGGATCCTGAAGTACTCCAAATCTCCTGTAGATGTGAGTTTCTTTTAAATGGCTTCCTGTGGAGTGCTTGCAGCGCTGCTCTGTGAATAATAATGATGAGTTGTGTAGGTTGGTCGGAGAGAGACGGTGAGCCGTGATTGGCTGTCTGCTCTCGCTGTAGCGTGACTCAGATGAGCTCAGACTCAGCAGCAGAAACGTCACGAAGTACTGATGCAACAAGGACAGAGTGAATGTGTGTGTGGAAACATTTTACTTTGAAATGCGCTTTAAAGGGATAGTCCACCCCAAAATGAACATTCTGTCATTGTTTACGCTCAAGTTGTTCCAAACCTGTATGAGTTTTTTGTCTTTCTGTTGAGCACAAAAGATATTTTGAAGAGTGTTGGTAACCAAACTGGTCTGGTTCCCTTTGACTTCTATAGTATTTTGCTCCATGCTATGGAAGTCAGTGAGGACCAATTGTTTGTTTCACAACATTCTTCAAAATATCTTCTTTTGTGTTCAACAGAAGAAAAAAACTCATACAGGTTTGGAAAAACTTGAGCAGGACATGAGTATTAAATGAGTGTGTGTTTGTTTCAGATTCAGAAAGGAAAGCTGCATGGCAGTATAGATGTGGGTCTGTCTGTGATGTCCATCAAGAAAAGAGCTCGCCGCATAGATCTGGACACAGAAGAGCACATTTACCATCTCAAGGTCTGTGATTTGCTTGGTTTGTATGTGCACTCATTGAAATATTGTGGAGAGAAGCAGCGTTTCTTCAGCTTTAGGCACTTTTATGTCTTTGGGGTTTATTTTTATTCCTTTTTTGTCTTTTTGTTATGTAAAGGTCACAATAAATCTGCCTTGGAACTTGTTTTCATGGCTCCATCATTTATTTTTGATGCTGTGAACTGGCTGTCTCCTAACTCTGTCACTGTCTCTATCTCTTTCTCCTTGAAGGTGAAGTCTCCAGATGTTTTTGACATCTGGGTGTGCAAGCTGCGTCACCATCGTTTGTTCCGTCAGAACGAGATTGTTCGCTCTCCTCGTGATGCTACGTTACGGACCTTCCCTCCGTCTGCCAGCGCAGAGTCACCCCAGAACACCCCTTCCAGCACACACCAAAACAAGGTCATTCTTGTCTTCTGTTTCATGTTGACTATAACAACAACATAAATCAAATTTAAGCTTCATTCAGACAGCTGTGTAAATGTGTGTGTGTATGTACCCTTACAGCAGGGTAAACCCAGTAGTCTGCCCTGGCAGCTGCCGCCATCCTGTAGTAATGGACAGAGTAAAGTGGCAGCCTGGTTACAGGACTCAGAGGAGATGGACAAGTGTGCAGAAGGTAACACACAATTCAGTAATTAAGATTTTACTTTATAGCTCACAAAATCTGTCAAGAAGTTATCAGTGCCATGTGTTACCACAAAGGAACCATATATATGTGTGTGTGTGTGTGGGTGTGTGTGTGTGTGTGTGTGTAGGCATAATAAAATATAAAATAATTATTATTATTATTTTTCTTATTATATTATTTTGGACAATAATTTAGACATCATGGTACTACTTGTACTTTATGCTGATGTCAATAAAAGATAATCTAGTGTCTAGATCTAGAATTTAGTGTTGTCATCGAAAGAAATGTGAATTACAAAATAATTAAAAGATTCAGATGCAGTGTGGTAATGAAAATTTAAGGGGAAAAAGAATATTGATGTTATTTTCAAGTTTAATTTAAATAATCAGAAGCATCTTAACAGTACACTAAAATAAGTGCAAGTAATTTCTTTACAACATAATATATATATTAAAAAAAAATATATATATTTTTTGGGGGGGGACTTTTTGTACGATTGATTCTCTGTTGTATTTTATATATGTGTGTGTGTGTGTGGGTGTGTGTGTGTGTGTGTGTGTGTGTGTAGGCATAATAAAATATAAAATAATAATTATTATTATTTTTCTTATTATATTATTTTGGACAATAATTTAGACATCATGGTACTACTTGTACTTTATGCTGATGTCAATAAAAGATAATCTAGTGTCTAGATCTAGAATTTAGTGTTGTCATCGAAAGAAATGTGAATTACAAAATAATTAAAAGATTCAGATGCAGTGTGGTAATGAAAATTTAAGGGGAAAAAGAATATTGATGTTATTTTCAAGTTTAATTTAAATAATCAGAAGCATCTTAACAGTACACTAAAATAAGTGCAAGTAATTTCTTTACAACATAATATATATATTAAAAAAAAATATATATATTTTTTGGGGGGGGACTTTTTGTACGATTGATTCTCTGTTGTATTTTTTAAACACTATATTTAAGTCTCACACAAACCTGCAGAACTCAATATGTGTACTTGTATTTCAGAACTTGCCTACTGCCAGTCTAGTCTTTTAGAATTGAGTCAACTGCTGCAAAGTCTGGAGATCTTACAAAGGACACAGTCAGCTCCAAACTTCACCGACATACAGGTATATCCACACACACACACACACACACACACAGACACAGACACAGACACAGACACAGACACACAGACACACAGCTTCTAGGTGTCTAGTATATTTGTACAGATTGTGTTGCAGACAGATTGTGTTTCTCTTTGGCTGCACTTACACTGTAAACCTATTCACAGGTTCTGACACCAACAGTATCTGATGTTTTGTCCCATCTGTATTGACACAGACACACACACACACACAGACACACACAGACACACAGCTTCTAGGTGTCTAGTATATTTGTACAGATTGTGTTGCAGACAGTTTGTGTTTCTCTTTGGCTGCACTTACACTGTAAACCTATTCACAGGTTCTGACACCAACAGTATCTGATGTTTTGTCCCATCTGTATTGTCACATTCGCTTAACACACACGTGAAAAAAATAAATAATATATATATATATATATAAAACTGCGTTTATATTAATACCCAGCCATATCATTGTGTTACAAGTAAAATAAATCACTCGGCATATCTATATATTGGGAACTGGATTGTAATGCAGATCTATAATATATACAGCAGTTTTACATAATACTTTACAGACATCCCTAACCCTCAAACTAATTTCAACCCCTTCAACACAACAGCATAATTCTTCCTTCAGTATTTTCACTGATGTCATTCTCATCACCTCTTCTGATTAAATAAAATCTCATCACACATTTACAACATATTATTTTCTGTTGTCACTGCCAATGGCTTCAGTGCTTCAGTTTTCTGCTATTAACCCTCTCACCAGTTTGCTTTGCGTGTGTGTATGTGTCCATGTAATTTAGAGTAACTGTGTAGATTTGACAAAGAAAGAAAAGCGAGTCAGCAGAAGATGGAGGACTAAAAGTGTCAGCAAAGATGCAAAATTGCAACAGCAGGTACATCTTCACAACACCCACAGTCAACACTGAGAGGAATTTACTATTAGCTATATATTATTTATTGCACTGTCTGCATCATTTTAGCATCTGATTTACCGGAATTATGCAAATAGGGTAACAGTGCAAACACGGCCAGAAAATCGGGCAATTACTATTCTTGCAGACTGGTTCTGAGTTATGGAGGCCATAGCTGACTACAACAATCTGGCATACTTTACTGAGACAGTACAGCATTGTTCCAACTAGAGCCCTACACGGGCCTCAAATTTAGGCCCGAGCCCCTTTTTTTTTCCCCTTCTCCCAAAACAGCTTATACTACTGTTTTAGCTATTAAAATAATTCAGTTTTGTATGTAATGGCAAAATGGTTATATTTTATAATCATTAAGTTAATTTAGAAAATGTTTGGAGCATTTTTTGTTTGTTAAATATAAGTTTTTGTTTTTTAAAGTAATGACCAAGCGGCCAGCGGCAGACAGTGAGCCTATGTTTGATCAGTTTAGCCTTCTCAAATCATCATGACTTGCCTAAAATAAAATCTATATACTAAAACAGTTCAAGCATATAACAATGTTTAAACGTTAAACCTGCGCTATTATATCCAAGTTTGTGTGGAGAGTGCAAGCTAAAGTGCCCTTTGCAGGACATGGAGGCGCCAGTGCAATCACTTGCATTTTTTTTCAGTGGAAACAACTTAAAATAGCCTACGCCGTCATTTTTGCTCATAAAGGTAAGAGTAATACATCATTGGGAACTGTAAAGGGTCTACTTGTATTTGTGTGCACTCACAATATCAACAAAACGTTGTGCTTTTATAAAATAAAGGAAACAAACATGATGCGCTTTCTGCCTTCTCGGTCTTGAACAGGAGCGCTTTACAAAAATGAACCGAAACTCAGCAAATACATGCCTCACAGACATGATAAATATATCTATAGAAAGCTTTAAATAGCCACTTAACGAAATAAAACAAAAACTCTTTCATTATAATCATAATCCGTAAAGATGCGCTTCTCTCTAAAGGCGCATCTAATGAGGAGATGGCGAGTCAGGATCGACAACTTCATCCTTGCGACACGGACTCAGAAAACACTAGTTTATTATTAAATAATTCAAATATGGCCTTACTATTTCCCCCTGACACATTCATGGTTATTACTTTTGCTGGGGCTTTGCGGCAAGCTTTAGCCTATTGCGTGCATCTCAACGCAGATCTCTTCAGCTGCGCTGTCGGCACGCATGCTGCTGGTGCAGGACACTAAACACCGTCGAGCCGCGGTGACAGTCGTGGTAGCACGGTCTCGTGATGTTTCAACCAGCGCGGCAATTATTTTTCATCACTAATTGATGGATGTCTAAAATATAAAAATTAGTAGAAGCCTAAAACAGGCCTGAGGCCCGGTCCGCGTCTGAACTATGACGTGAAAATTGGCAGAAATGCACGGCTCTAGTTCCAACATTGCAATTCAAGCATCTGCATCAGTTTAGAGTGACAAAAGTGTGCCTGCATGGCATGCACAAGTGGCTCATTTGTTTAGTGAATTTGCCACACGGTCTCAATGCAGCAGGGACTGCAGCTGATAGAGTTTAGTGTGTGTCAGTTTCCTTAACCTTCACGCACACACGCATGACCACTTACCCTCTGAACAACCTCATTATTGCAGTCCTTAACCTCAGCCAAAGCATCAGAGTACACCGCCTGCTGCGGTCTAACACTCTGAAGGCCTGACATTTGTCTCAGTGGATCCATTATAAACCATTAAAACTGTTTCTGAATCTTTAACAGTGTATCGGCCATGGTTTAAAGGAATTTTTTCATTTATAATGGATCGCTACAGACAAAAGAGTGTGAGCGAATGGGACTGGCCATTTCTGTTTTATTTCCTCATAAATGTTTTGTTGTCATTTATTTGGATCATTGATTAAGAATCAAAAAACACAGCTCAGCACAACTCAGAAAACATATGAAGGTTAAATGCAAGATACAAGACATTTGATACCATAGTTGCATGTGTAAAATTATGTTGTTTAAAAGAATGTCTGCCCCATAGACGTTCATCGTAAGTGCATTACTGTAAAACCAACCTAGTGAAAAATAAATATACTAAAATGTATTTGAAATACATTTATTTCATGCCAAGTATACTACAAATACATTTACATATTTATGTACTAAAAAATTACCCTGCAATTGTACTGTTGGTATACTAAACTGATATACTTAAAGTCTGCTAAATTGGAACAACTAATTTTGTACTTAATGCACTTTAATTGTGCGGAAGTAGTGCTGAAGTCCAACTAAAGATGAACTGAAGTATATTTGATCGAGAGATTTGGAACTATTGCATTTAAAGACCGATATTATTCAAAGATCATATAATCCTCATCGATAGTGACATTAAAACTCATTTTAGGCTTTATATAAAGAAATGAGCATTGTGCACAAGTAGTACCCCAAATACAGTTTAATTATAATTTTTATATCAATAAGTCTCAAGCAATATGTCAGTAAATACGTTAATAGATTTAAACTATACTTAGCATGAAATAAATGTATTTTAAATATATTACTTTTTTACTTGGCCAATTTTTGCTTGTTTTTAAATTGAGTGACAAAACAAAATAATTTTCTGTGGTACTGGACAAATCCACATGCTGTTGATAGACCTTATTGTTTTCATTCCCTAATAAGGTCATCTGTAATAAACTGGGAAGGTTTTCTGTGACGTTGACAGTAATAGGGTGTGTGTATGAGTAACTCTTGAGGTGTGTTTGGTTAAATATGTATCTGGCTCTTGTGTTCACCCCCAGGTCCAGTCACTTCCCCAGTCACACAGTGCTAAAGTAAGCAGAACCTTCACTGTGATGTTATCTTGGTGTTACACCATGACATCACCATGCTGTAGTCTCTTGCATGCAGTGCTGCTTTACATTCTCTCTGCAAAACATAATGTCAGTGTGACCTTTTTAGAAATAGCTTTAGGTTACTGTTGTAACCCAAGTTCTCTGAGGGAGATGAGAGTGATATGGGGCTATGTAGACTCTCCTTGGACACACATCTGTATTGCAGTCCTTAAATCTCTATACCATCACACATTCAGGCTCTTCCTTAGTAAACTGGGGTTACAGTTGTAACTAGTAGTTCTCTTATAGTCCACTTGCTTGACATCTCATTGTCGGATATGGCGAACATTTGTAAAGATCTTAAAATAAGGCCACCTTCACATGTCCAACCCCCCAAAAAGGTATGCAGTTTTGGAACAACAAGAGGGTGAGTAAATGATGAAAAAAAAGCATTTCTCTTTTGATTGAACGATACCTTCCCTTGAAGACCCTGCTTTTAGCATCGCATTGGTTTTAATGAGTTCTAGGCTATAAAATTTCACCAGCATGTAAAGGGGAAGCCCACTCTGCCAGTTAACATGTCTTCTGTTGAGATGCCTCTAAACAGGACTCAAGAGGTAGTCATTCCCCAAGTAGAATGAACGCTAACTCCTGGAGGCCTTTTAATAAATAATGCATCTTGATGGCTTCCCTTAACCAGTGAGACAAGTGTTTTAGATGGCTGTACCTCTTGCTGGATTTGCAAAACAAACAAAGGACTGCTAACCATCCACCAGATACAAACAGTACATCTCTTCTCCTCCCCACACCTGAATGGGGTTGGATGAAAAGCTGGGATTTGAAATTGCAAACTAGAAAAACCCAGTTTGACGCAGTAGGGACAAATGCCAGATTGGGTGTAAAGTTATCTCAGATAAGATGTGAAACTGAGGCATGCAGGATTAATAGAAACCCTCTTCAGCTCACTGACATGCATCACTGTGGCGAATGTGGGTAGTAATCTTATATCAGACAGCCTTGATATCCCTATTGAAATTTCATGATGGAATCATCTGCTTAGTAGCCAGCCAGGAATGGTACACCCCTGATTTACCTTCAAAACCTGAATGTTATGCTGATCCAGCGCATCTGATCCAGGAATGTCTAATAGAGCATAGAAACAGAATTATCTGCTTTTCTTATACATGTGGTCTACACCGGGCATAAGCGCTTGAAGCTGTCTACACTGAACCATCAAAGTGGAAATTCCGAAATTCATGTGGAGTATGCCAGAAATAGAACTGGGCATCAGTTTTCTGTCGGTGCCTCATCATGTCTGGCGTCAACAAGGTTTTACACTTTAAGTCAAGTAACAACCTAATGGAATTAGCTCAAGGCCTCAGAATTACGTCAGTGACATTCGGAAACATGCCAGTTTAACTTTCACTGGAAACCTTAAATGGTCATGAAAGCCCCTGTTTCAGCACCGGTTAGTTTTTCCACCACAGTTTTGAAAAATGCTACAAAAGTGGGCGTGGTGCACTGCGGAGTGAAGGGGGAAGAGGGGAGTTAAAAACACAAATAAATGCACAGCCATTTGCATTTGCACTCTGCATCATGAAATATATGAACATGCTGTAGCACCTCTAACATTTATTTGCAGCGTTTATATAAGCCTTTTGATGGATTGCATCAAGCAGCTGTAAAAACTGGTTACATGCTGTGAATAAATCACGTTTGTGCTGAACACTTACAAAGCAAAAAAAAATTCAAATACTATAATCTTCGATCCATGAATGCGCGTCTCTCACTAATGTACGCAATCTCACAGTCTAAAGTGTCTGTCATAGCGAATCAACATGTTATTGTGAATAATTAAATGAAACGTCTTCTCATAGGATAAGAACACTATAGTCCTTTGCCACGTCACAAATTGTGATGTCAACACAATGTAGATTTTAAACCAGGAAGATGAAAATAGAGTAAATTTTAACCGGTTCTCCAACAATTAAAATTAACGGATGCCAACATTGTCTTCTATGATGTGCAACACAAACATCTCTACTAAAATCCTAAGAAAAAGTAGTTTGGGGTTTCATGACCCTTTAACACAAATATTTAAATATTGTGGATGGTGGTGAAGTAATTCCCATTGTACCAGAGAAATTAAAGCTCTTTTAACATTCACACTTTTTCCGCTAACCATGGATTCCCTGGGCCAGCGTCACCACTCTCCTCCAGCCCAATCTGATTCTATTCGGAGTGGGAAGATTAGAGCTCTGACAGGAAGAAATTCATAAGCAGAATTTCAGGATACAGGTGTGCTGGTGTGTCTATGCCTAGCATGTCTGGTACACAGTAAAATGGACAGCAGACACTTATGAGGTGAACATATCTACATATACTGTATCTTTTCCATATCTAAACTGCTACGTCAAAGTCTTCACTCCCTCAGGTGTGGGTTTCAGCACAAAATCTATGCCTGTGCCTTTGACAGACCCATAAACATGCATCACTCTCTGGAAGAGCATTCAACCATTGGAGAATCTCAACAAATTCCAACATTGTTGATATGCACACTTCACTTAGAAAGATCGCTGTTGGTCATGAGCCGGTTTAAGCTGGTCCTTAGCTGGTCATATGCTGGTCCTAACCAACTAGCTCCTGCTCAGGACCAGCACATGACCAGCTAAGGACCAGCTTAAACCAGCTCAAACCAGCAGCAGTGCTTCAAAACATACCTAACCATCATATGCGTTTTTTTCAAAAGGGATGCCATGTCTGTTCACTGTCTGATCCTTAATCACAAATCCTCTGTCATGCATAAATGTGTCTGGTGAACCTTGGGGTTCATCCCATCATTGAACCACCCTCCTAGAGACTCTTGTTCCTCCAAATGTACAGTGCTCTAGTCATCGAGCATATCTGCATAAATGTCTGGAGGGAGTCAACTTCAAAGAAGTCACCCATCTCTTAAAGTCTCTCTCAGAAGTAGTCCTAACAGTACCACTGCTATGGCCAATGCTTAACAGACTCAGACAAAGACGAAAGGACACCCGTGTCCTCAGACTGAACTGGTTCAGGCTATTCTGGAATCGTATCATCTTCTGTTACAACATAAATGCTTGATCCTTGAAGTGCAACCCCATGAACACAAACTTTGTCGAAGACTACTTTTTTTTGTAGGATTATGATCAACCTTAGTGCTTGTAAGTATAAATTGATGTAGATGTGTTTTTAGTCAGAGATGAATGAGGATGTGTAAATATTAGGGGTGTAACGGTTCACAAAATTCACGATTCGATTTGATAAGACACAGTGGCGTCACAGTTTGCAATGTTGGAAATATTTCTGTTTTAAACCATGAAGACGAGCCAATGGATATCACACAAGCAATGTGCAAACTTTGCGCAAGAGTTATGCCGGTAAACAACTTAATCTCAGTCATTCACTATGCAGAAAGTAAAAGTAAAAACGGAATGACGGAGTAATGATGGAGCTTTCGGCATCTGATGCCGCATATTCTCTCAGAGACGATGAGAGACGAATCTACTTCAACATATGCTGATAACGGTATATATCTAACTGTTTTAATTTATTCCCTTAATAGTTCTCTTGTGGTCCGTACATAGTGGAAAAAAAATTAGAAGAAATGTATTTCATGTTAAACGGGTTGTTTTTGAAAAGCTTTTTATTTCATTGATTTTAATTGATGACTGCAGTGTTAATATTTTAATTATAGACCTATAATTCATTGTATAATAGACCTGTTTTAAAAGACCTTTTTTAAAACATTTTAATCGAGGAGTAAATAGTAGAGCACGACTGATATGGGTTTTTTGGGGGACGATATCGAAATTAGGGAGTAGAAAAGACCGATATCGATATATCGGCCAATATTCTTTGTGTAGGCTATATTATAGTACAGTATATTCAAAAGTTTGGACATACTTCCCATTCATGTGTCCAAACTTTTGACTTATACTGTATATAGAATACAGTATATACTGTACATTAACAGACCTTAAACACAAATAGAACTATATATTTATATATATATACTGTATATAAAAAACTTGAATTAAGAAAATAAACAAGGTAACTGTGTAGGGCAAGCAAGCTACTGCCAATCCAACAGGGGCAGGTTTATGCAGAAAGCACAGCTTTTCCAAATGTAAACATCTAAAATTAATAAATAATAATAATGAATAATATTTTTTTCACAAATTCTGTGTTGTGTATTTTCTGGTAATCAAATGAACATGCAGAACATGAGGATTCGTATTTAAATAGTCTTTTTGCAGACACAAGTCTACTAACTTTTCAATCTGCTATGTTACTGACTGTACTGACAAACTATGCTGACACATCGTGTCTGCGACGTGACAAAGCGACCGTTGAAAATCATTTGAACTTTGCGTCAGTTCATCATAAATAGAACGCGGGATCAGTTTACTGTTCGGGATTTGTTGCGTTGTGTTGCGCCGCATCCAGTGTAGACAACATCACTGATAATGGGTTCTATTGTATTTTGTCATGCCGCACCGCTCACGTCCGGTGTAGACACCTAGTTAGGAAAAGTGATGTGACCGATGTGATAAGTATGAGTTCTGGGCTGCGGCGTGGCTGGTATAAACACCAGCATTGAGTGGCCGCGAAGCCGTAATGCGCCATAGACGCATGCTGTGATGTGCAATCAGCTCTAACGTCACTGAATCTGCTGTTAACAATGAACCATCCATTCATCATAGAATCATTAGAATCATTGTAATGTGACGATCAAATATAGGTGCGGGTGGATAATTTATTTGAAGCAGTGGACTCGGGTGAAGTTTGAGCTCATCCGCACATCTCTTCACTACACTAACCTGGGTCGCCAGTAGCAAACAATGGAGTGTGCTTTGCTGGACAAAAAAGTAATTACACCATTCAGAAGCACTGTATCTGCGTTATATGTTCTGTGAAAAAAAAAATTCATATCGGCGGCATATTCGCCGATACGATATATCTGCGACAGGCTCATATCGACAAAACGATATATCGGTCAGGCTATTTACTAGAGCCAGTTATGTGGTAGCCTAATTATTGTGGGGCAAATTAATTGTAATCTTAATATAATAATAAAACTAACTTCATAATAATAATAATAATAGGCCTAATAAAATAAGAGTGAACAGGCCTACATTAATTGGACATGCCAAATCGTCTTAATATTGCCAATAATTGATGTTTTTGACAATATCTCTGGCTATCGTCGATACAAGATCATCATCTTTCAATGCAACCCAGCAAGGGGAGGTTATCGCGGGCACGTCCGCTATGCCACTGGACAGCATGTTGCCTGTTACGTCGTTTGGGCTGTCTTGTTGAGCACAGTGGCACTAAGAAAAAAACTTTTATTTTCCAGATGTAATAAGTTTAGTCCATCGAATTTCTATTGCTTAGGGTTAGGGTTGCTCGATTTCTAATGCATACCGAACCGAAAGCCTTGTACTGAACGGTTCAATACGAATACTTGTATTGCTACACCCCTAGTAAATATGCATCCTTGAGATCTGTAGTGGTAAACAATTTTTTTTTTCTATGTACAGAATTCAGAGATTTAGAATATTGATACACAAATCTGTGATTTGAATTCTAAGGTAACTGTTGAAAGCTTCAGATCCAGAACAGGGAAAATGCCTCATTCCTTCTTGATAGAGTTGCCACTCTGCCTTGAACAAATTTGGAATAGAAGACATTAGTGGGCCTTGCATCCCAGACAATATTCCCCCCCACAATGACGCTGATTATTGGTCCTCAGACAAGGTGAGAAGGTTAACCCAGTCCTCTATAGGAGTGAAGACCTCACCGACCATCAATGCGGGCGCTCCTCCCCCTGTAAGGTGTTTTGCTGGAAATCCTGCATAAAGATTGCTGTTCTGTGAAGCACCCTTGGAGAGAGTTTGTGGTAATGAGAGCAAGCAATTGACAGCAGTGCCTTAGCACACCAGACAGATGGTGAGATCCTTTATGGAGATAGCTCTTTATGGAAGCCATGAATGTTTGGCTGGTCAATGAAATGAAATCTTTCCTCTGTTCAGTGCTGGTAAGCCTGTTATCAAGACAGCACATTGTTCTCTGTCTGTGACAGCTGGGGTGTGCAACTCCGGTCCTTGAAGTCCTCTGTCCTGCAGAGTTTAGCTCCAACCCTGATCAAACTCACCTATGTGTAACATTCTAGTGATCCTGAAGACCTTGACTAGGTTGTTCAGGTGTGAACTTGATTAAGGTTGAATCTAAACTCTGTAAGACATTGGACCTCGAGGGCCAGAGTTGCCCACCCTTGTCTATAAGATACACACAACTTTGTAAACCCTGTAGAAACCTTGCCGTAGAAAAAACAACAAAAAGGTATTTTACTCACCTAAAGTTGTCAAAATTGACGGCCAAATAAATAGTAACTCTACATTTTCTCTCTCTCTGGATGGTTGAACAATGTGTAGTGTACTGAGGACATATGTAGATGGCACACGTTGGAAAAATGTTAAATTAAATGCTGAGCCTGTGCAGTAGGTCATATACAGAAGGGGGAGGGCTTCCCTAGTGCATTGGTTCCCAAACCTGGTCCTGGAGTACCCACAGTGGTACACATTTTGGATGTCTCCCTTACTTGACACACCCATTTCAGGTTTTGGAGTCTCCACTAATGTACTGATAAGTTGATTCAGGTGTGCTTGATTAGGTAACCATACAGAATGTGCAGAGTTGTGGTTACTCCATGACCAGGGTTGGGAACTAATGCCCTATGCAGTGGTTCTCAATTCCAGTCCTCGCGCACCACCGCTCTGCACGTTTTGTATCTTTCTCTTATCTTTCGCTTCAGACGTTTGTTCTATTCGAAAGTGCCCTGCAAAGTTTACATCACAGGATATTTCACCATGATTCCAGTCCAAAGGGACCTATATGTTCCATTAACAGGGCATTGAAAGTGCACAAGACGTGAATTTAAATTGTATTTATTTACAGAGGTATTATGTCACACTTCTCTAGTGAGTTTCGTCTGTGTGTGAAGATGCTGCGGGCAGTGGCTTTTTGCAAATCTGTGAATGAATGTTCTGAAGTGAAGTAAACTTCAACGGATTTCCCCTGCTCAGGGAGTAGGGAGCAATGAACACTGTGTAGGGACCATGTCATTTGGAACACAGTTCATGCATGGAGCTCTCTTCTAACGAGCTGGTTATTTGAATCAGCTGCGTTAAATAAGAGAGCCATGCAAAGTATGCAGAGCAGTGGTACGCGAGGACTGGAATTGAGACAAGTGGTCTAAAGGCGTGGTAGTGTAAGGCTTCATGAATGGCCACACAGTTGTACTGTACCATAATGAGATGTTGAGTGAGTCAACTAAATGAGAGCAGACTCTGATCTTATCTGCATCCTTAAATTCAAAGCATACAGTTGGTGCAGTAAAAAAGGTTTTGAACAGTTTATTTAAAATAAACTGGATGTCAGCAGCTCTGAATGATAAGGTTTTGTTCTGACACTACCAACTCTACTAAAGACACAGCCTGTGTTGAATTTGTATGATTATGTGATTGTCGTTTTGATTCATGTTAACACATTAACGCATGCTAGTGGTTCACATGTCATCCTGTGCTGAAGTATGAAGTAACTTAATTTCACTGTTGACCTGTGAGCTTAACTTTACACTGCTTGGCTTGGTGTGTGTTTTGTGTGTCTGTGAACTCTTTACTGAAATCTAACTAAACTATACTCATCTAATCTAGAGTTCAGATGTCCCCAGTTGGGTTTTTTCCTCAGTCGAAGGAGTCACTCAACTCTGAGAGGGCTGTGTTCAGAGGCCCACCTTGCTGGTTATCCTAAGACTGTGTCTGGGATCACTTCTATCTCACTGTAATTTGTGTGTGTGTTTCAGGTTCCCCTGAGTGCAAGTATGTCTCAAGTGCGTCTCCACTCCTCTAATCCTAACCTATATGCGGAGTTGGCTGATTTTCAAACCCCAGTCCCACGTCTGACTGACAGTATCGACAGCGCCGGTGACTACATCAAACTGCAGGAAGATTTCTGCATAGTTGCGCAAAAAGGTGAACAAAGCATCCATTCCAGTGTCACTGGATCTGCGTTGCCATGGCAAGAGAAATGTTGTGTTTTTAATTTGAGATTTTTTTTTTAGCGAATTGCCTAAAAAGACTGACGTTACCAATTTTGAAAAAGTGAAAAAAATATTTTTGGGTTTTATTTTTTTTTAAAGAAAATTGATACTTTTATTAAGTAAGGTTGCATTAAATTGATTGAATTAAAAATATATATATTTCAAATAAATGCTGTTCTTTTGAACTTTCTATTCATCAAAGAATCCTGGAAAAAAAAATCACGGTTTCCACAAAAATATTAAGCAGCACAACTGAATCATGTGACACTGAAGACTGGAGTAATGATGCTGAAAATACAGCTTTGCATCACAGGAATAAACAATATTTTAAAATAACCCTCATTTCCATTAAACATATTTTATTGGACTGTACCGGTTTTAATGCAAGTAGAAAACTTTTTTTATGAAGTACGCTCACTCAGGGACTTTAGATTTTAGATTTCTTTTTTGTTTTAAAAACAAAATTTTTAAAATCTTGTATAATTTTATCTTGCTGTGTTTTTGTGTTTACTTGTATTATTCCAACTCAGTTTTTGCCATGAAGATAGACTTAGATGCTGACATGGCAATAACTACTACAACAACTATTAACTAATACAATTTAAAATATATTTAATTAGGAAACTGTTTTAAATGTAAAACTTAAAAAATTTAAACTTTAAATTGTAATAGTAGTTTACAATATTACTGTACTTTATTTTAATCAAATAAATGCTGCCTTGGTGAGCAGAAGAGAATTCTTTTAAAAAACATTTAAAAAAATCTTTCCGACCCCAAACCCATTTAGAATCAGATTCACAGTTTCATCCTCTAGCCTAAGATGAATAGAGTTGTTATAAAAATGTATTCATTGAATGCAAGTTAATGTCTCTAGATCCAGTGTTTGTTTTGACCCCCTCATACACTCATCTTCTTACTTGTTCTGGATGATTGTGTTGTCTAGGCCTTGTCCCAGAATGTTGAGCTCAAGACCCGTCTGAACCGAATCCACTCTGAGTCGGTTCTGTCTGACCAGGTCGTCAGTGTGAACATCATCAGCAGTCCTGACGAGGTCTGATATTCTTCTGCTCCAAACCATTTGAGTTCCTAACAGTGAAATGTGTTGGATGTGGATGACACTTGGGCTTTGAAATTATTTGGAAAATAGACGGGTCAGGATATGTGGCTCTAATTGTCCCTTTTTATGTTTGAGAAGAGCATAAAACCACCTGGAGCTACAGGGGTAATCACCCATTTTCTTGATCATAAAGACAGTCACTGTTTAAGCTTGAAATCTCTTACATTTGCTCTCGTTTGGGTCTTTAAAGGAGTGAAAGTCACACTCAGTACTCTGGCCTCATACACTTTGGCTGCAATACAACCAAACAGAGCAATCATTAGACATAATGAGTCCCACGAGATGGCTGCTCGTACTGATCAACCATGTGTTTAACTATTGGCAGCAGACATTGCGTTTCAAGGCTTTCACTTTCTACAGGACTTAAATCCTTCAGCTTTTGTGCTCCTCACATCAGGTTGTATATCTTTGTGCGATGGCCTCGAGTATAAGTGGCTGCCTGTGATAAATTTTAGCTCTACAAACACAAATCTGCAAGTGACGCACTGAAGTAACCCTGAAATCCTTTAATCGTGTATGTTTGTGGGTTTTGTAGGCTGGGGATCCGCTCCACGTGGGCATCCCTCTCTCTCAGCAGGTGTCCAATGAGAGCAGACTCTCCATGTCAGAGTCAGTGTCGGAGTTCTTCGATGCTCAAGAGGTGCTTCTGTCCGCCAGTTCATCAGAGAATGAGGTGAGAAGTCTGTGTTAATGTTAAAGTTATTTATATATATATATATATATATATATATACAGTGGGTACGACTAGCGAGACTGATTATCCAGTCGAGAAACCGTAGTTTGCGTCTCATCTGACCATACAGCAGTGGGATGTGTTGACAATCCATTCAGTCTCTACTTCACATAGCGCTTGTGACGTGTGAGGGCTCGCGCTCTTCAGAGACAATCACAGAATATGACCGAGCTCGTGTTTTAAAGCGAAACACTGGAATGAATAATTCACTTAAAACGCAACGCGAGTCTCTGTTCTCTCTGAAATCTCTGATGTAATCAGCCTGGTTTCCTTTACATTAGCACTGTTTTGGACGGATTGTTTGAATGCATTCACTTACTGGATCATTGGAGTTTAGCAGCTTAAAATGATCTGATCGCAAGCAGAGAAGCAAAATTGGGTTAAAGGGTTAAAATAGAAATTGTGCTTCTGTAATTTTGCGTAAAATTATTTTAACGCGTTAAGTATTGTAAAATTAATCACATGCGTTAACGCGTTAACGATGACAGCCCTAATATATATACAGCGGATAAAATAAGTATTGAACACATCACCATTTTTCCCAGTAAATATATTTCTAAAGGTGCTGTGACATGAAATTTTCAGTACATAATTCCCATATTTCCACGAGTGACTTGTAGTAATTATTATTATTATTATTATAAAGAATGATTAGATGTGTCCAGACTTGTACATATTCAAGCTCAAGTGAATCATTGCAATTACCAGTTAGGATTTATCAGCTGTCAGTGTCATATGTGTAAGCATGGTCTGTTTGTTTAAAGGGGTCCTATTATGCTTTTTCACTTTTTTAATTTTAGTCAGTGTGTAGTGTGTATGTTTGGGCATAAAAAAGATCTAGAAAGTTACAAATCTCAAAGTTCACTCCAAAGGGAGATATTTCGTCTTTTTAAAATCCATTTTCAAGAACTACAACGAACGGCTCGTTTAGACTACATCGTTGGTTTTCCGGGCTTTGTGATATCACAAAGCAGCTCATTAGAATATCATTACAAATAATTCCCGCCTACAGAAATTGGAATGGTTGGGGGTGGGGAGGGGCAAGGTTGTGGTTAGAACGCTTGGTTGAGTGAGTGCATCAGACGAGACGACGAAGAAGAAGTGCTGCTGCAGAGTTAGTGCATCAGAGAAAACCAAGAAGAAGAAGAGCTGCTGTGCTGTAGTGTCAAATTTTCGTAATGTCTAGAACACTTCTTACAAGTATAACACGACGTAGCTGGGCACCGCGGACAGACACCGAACGGCGCCGCCGGAGTGCCCACACTCATAGAAAATAATGTATTTGAATTTTAAAGATGTGGCGCGACATGACGCTGCGCTTCTCGTCCGGTGTGCGACCGCCTGAAACGCTGTTTTTTTTTTTTTTTTTCACCTCCGTGCCCAAACGTCTTTGTTTGGGCTTCCGAAAGCGGATAACAAAATCAAGACTTTGTAAAAGAGCATAATAGGACCCCTTTAAGTGTGTTTATTTGTATACTTGCACACTGCACTGCAGTAGGTCATTACACACACACACACACACATATTTTACAGTTAGTCAGCACTGCGCAAAATGAAAGACAGTGAGTAACATCATCTCTCTCTCTCTCAGGCCTCTGATGACGAGTCTTACGTCAGTGATGTGAGTGATAACATTTCAGAGGACAACACCAGCGTCACAGATAACGTTTCCAGACAGAGTAAGATCGCTCTTCGTTTTGTTCCGTTCATTAGAGCAGGACGCCGTCCTGATGGGACACATGACCTTTGCGTTACACACACACACACACACATATTTGTATACTTGCACACTGCACTGCAGTAGGTCATTACACACACACACACACACACACACACACACACATATTTTACAGTTAGTCAGCATTGCGCAAAATGAAAGACAGTGAGTAACATCATCTCTCCCTCTCTCTCTCTCTCTCTCAGGCCTCTGATGACGAGTCTTACGTCAGTGATGTGAGTGATAACATTTCAGAGGACAACACCAGCGTCACAGATAACGTTTCCAGACAGAGTAAGATCGCTCTTCGTTTTGTTCCGTTCATTAGAGCAGGACGCCGTCCTGATGGGACACATGACCTTTGCGTTACACACACACACACACATAAAATTATGACTATTGTAATGTGAATATCAAAATATAAAATGCAAAGGGATTAATATCACAGTATCTGTCAAGAGCATGTTGGGGTCATATTTCACCCCAAAACCAAAAGAAAAGACAAAATTAGTTTAAATGTTTAAAAATGTAAAGATTGTTTTAGGACCTTTTTGATTTGATTATGGGTCTTATGAAAATAGTGCCATTTCTTATTACAAAATGTAAGTTTTTTTTTTTAATTTTCCTTTGATGTTGGGAATACATGTGACTTTGTTTTGAATTAATGAAAGTATCACAATCATTTTATTGCAGACAGTGTCACTGTAGAATTATTGAGGTGCTAATATAGTTTGTATTTTGAATTTTTTTATTTGTAGATTTTCCATTTTTAGTTTAGTTTTAGTAGTTTTGTTGTGTTTTCGTTTCAATATACATGTAGTTTTTATTAATTTTTATATGTCAGTTTTAGTTATTTTTAGTACATGAAGTTTTCAGAGTAAATGAAAATGAGAAAAGTTTACATGTTTTAATATTTTATTTCAGTTAATTTTTCTTTTATTTCAAGGAATGACAATGTTTTTATGGTTTTAGTTTTAGTTTCAGTTAGCTATAAAAACCCTGATTGTTTATACTCAGTATATCCTGCAAAACTGGTATCCCACGAGTAACCTTGTGTTTCTCCCTCAGTGCCTAATGGTGATCTGGCCAGTGGTGCGTTTCGTAACGGTAGACGTACGTGTCTCCCTACTCCCGCCCCTGACACGTCCAACATTAACCTGTGGAACATCCTGAAGAACAACATCGGAAAAGACCTGTCGAAAGTGTCCATGCCAGTGGAGCTGAACGAGCCCCTGAACACACTGCAGCACATGTGTGAGGAGCTGGAGTACACAGAGCTGCTGGATAAAGCAGCTCAAACCGACGACCCCTATGAACGCATGGTACGCTCCAACTCTTAAAGGGACAGCTCACCCTAAAATACAAATTCTGTCATCAGTAGCTCATTTTCATGTCATTCCAAACCCATTAGACTTTTGTTTAAAGCACAAATAAACCTGCAAAATTTCCGTCCCTCCATTAAAAAACCAATTCCACCAAAATCATAAAGACATCATAATCCATATGAATCAAGCGGTTTAATCCATGTCTTCTGAAGAGACACAGTCACTTTATATGATGAACAGATTTAAGTTTTATTCACATGTAAACATTTATCAACGTACATAGAGCACATCAATTATGGTCAGCGGAAGGTGAAATGTGCCTGCTTGATGCACAAGAGCGAGCCTCGTCTACATGGATTACTTTTACAATGTCGTAATGAACTTTTTATGCTTACGAAGCATCAAAGTTTTAGTTACAAGGACTTTCAAAATGTTGGGACTGGAATCTCTCAGGTTTCATTAAAAATTTTCTTCATTTTGAGTTTTGAAGCTGAACGAAAGTGGGTGGAATGACATAACGGTGAGTAAACGACGACAGAATTTCCATTATTAGGTGAGCTGTCCCTTTAAGAGAGTTAATGGATCTGGATTTTCAAAAGACATACACCTAACAAGCATTTGAGTCTGTTCTTTATTGGCATCAGTGTTTCCATGAAGAATCTTTAACATCTATGGAAACTTTCCATTCCACACTAAAACACACTAAGGTTCTTTCATGAACTGATCACTGAAAGGTTTGCCAGGTTTCTTTGGTTCTTCTATGGCATCGCTGCAAAAATACCATTATGAGACCTTTATTTTTAAGAGTGTTGCTGGTCTAGTTGCTCTAACAAGCTTAACCGTAATGCTCCACCAAATCAAAATCAAGTTCATCAGTCAGTAGTCCAGCTTATCAACCATTAAGACCAGACTATTGGCTTGAAACAACCAGCGTAGACTAGCAAAGTAAAACCAGCTACATAGTTTTATCTTGATTTTCCAGCAGGGAAAGGTAGTCCAGAGTGTGCGAGGACAGACTTGCGCTCCCACAGAAGCGTGCCCACACACGAATGTTCACACTCACCTTCATACGTAGCGGTGGCTGGTGGAAGGGTGAACAGGGCCTGAAGCAGGAACACATGTCCCTTGAGGACAGGCAGGTGGGCATTTACCTCTGGCCTCATTAAGTCCTTCTACTGTAGCCTAGTTTGTGTCCACACACAGTGACGCACACTCTGACACATTCGGTCGCTCGTTCTCCACACTGCAGCACTACTGATACCGTAGTAATGATGCTGCAGTGTAGGCGGCTGACTGCTGGACTGCTTTAGACTTAGTGCTGCACATTTACTGTTGCAGGCTTTGTATAAATCTCAAGAAAATTGTTTCTCTCCACAAAACAAACAAAAAATTTAAATAAGAAATTATATTTTATATAAAGATGCTGAATGATCTTAAGTGCCTTTTGACAGTTTTTTTTACAGTAGTTTTTTTTACAGTACAATATTTAAGAACCCCCATTTCTATTACTGCAAAGAATTTTAAGTTAAAGTTTGTGTATCTAATTTTTATTTGATTCTCCTTACTGTAATACAATTTTTCTTCAATAATTAATGTTTTAATCAGCATAAACGGCAAATACCATCATGATGTACTTTACAGTTTAAATAAGATTTATTATTATTACAGTTTTTCTGAATTGCTAAAACTGTGTTTAAACCTTAAACACGTTCAGGCAGTTAGGCTCTTTTTGCAAAACTCTAAACACATTCTCATTCACTTAAACACTTATCACACTGTGATGCATTTGTGCTGCAAAATGCTAAACGCAAGCGGCAAAAGTTAAAAACAGCTAAAGCACAGTTGTCATCGTTTACACACAATGATTCAAAATTATGCACACTTGTTTCTAATGATGTGATCAAAGCAACTGAACAAAATATGAGCCAGTTCAGAGTGCACAAGGGCACAGGTGACTGAATCATGATACGAACAATAGCTTGAGGAAGAGTACATGTAAGAAGTGGAGGATGAGGAGAGAAAGAGTTTAGAGTGTTATCAAGGCTGGATCTGTCAGACCAGAGGGTTTTTTCTCTTTGTCTAGCAAAAAAGACAACATTACTTGTGATGTAGAAAAAGTCCTCAGGCCGGACTCAAGCACAAAGACATGATGCTGAGACAGAATGAATCTCTCATTGACCCTGATTTTACAATTGCACAACTTACAGTATTTGCGTGTACTGTAACATGCTATTTATTTAGAGTTTTATTTGACCTTTTTGGTCTTTGCAGTTGGACTGCATTATTTTTGCAGTATCCAAGTGCTGAATATATACAAACATTCAGTACTATTCAATATTCAGCACAATACTATTCTTGCAGCACATAGAGTAGGCCTATACAATATATTCACCTTATTCAGTTGCAATTACTATACTTTTTTACAGAATTGCAAAATTGCTTACTCAATACAATATACTTTTTTGCTGTAATGTTCTGGATGCTGTGTTCTCCATTTTTCTCGGTGGTGTCTAATGAATGCTCTAGTGTTTATTTGATTGACTCATGTGTGATCTGAGAGCACCATTTGATTTTGAGTGCAAGTGAAATGGTTTTGCAGTGATTGTTTGATTTTGATGGAAGAGTCAGATGTTTCGTGAATTTAGTTTGAGTATTTGGATTTGTGTTTTGAGAAAATGAGTGATGGCTTCAAGAAATGTGTTTGCAATTCAGAAAAACTGTATTATTATTATCTTGAATGATTACAGTAATGAGATTTCTTCAGGGTAATCTGATTTATCCATTTCCAGAAATAAAGTAAATTTTCTATAAAATCTAATGTTTTTATCAGCTCATACTATCATGATGCATAACTGATGCAATTTAAATAACATTTATTATTATTATTAATAATTCTTAGCTGTCATGAAAATAGTGTCACAAAGCACAAAAAAAAGAAGTATTATTATTATTATTATTATTAATGGTTACAGTAATGAGACTTTTTTTTCGGGGTGATGTGGTTTATTTTCCAGAAAATTTTTTTTTTTCTATAATTATTAATGTTTTTAATCAGCATAAACAGCAAATACTACAATGACACATACTGTAAGTACTTTGCCATTTAAATAAGATGTTTTAATAATCATGATCATCATATAACTATTGTTATTATTATAAAAATAGTGTCACAATGCACACACAGAAAAGATTTAGATTTGACCTGAAACCTTGCAGACTGTTTGTGTGGATGTAATACACTCTTAAAGGGTTAGGTCACCCAAAACTCAAAACCCCCAAAAAAAGCCGACCTCATCTTACATCCCCCTGGAACTGCTTCCGTGTACAACACTGAGCACGAGCTAGATTAAAGTGATTATTACATTTTGAATATGGATATTTTTCTTACACAAATGCATCGATTCGCTACAGAAGGCCTTTGTTCACCCCCCGGAGCCGTGTGAGACACTTTTTATTTTTTTATGGATGAGCGATTTTTATTTAAGTTCTTTTAGACTGAAGCAATGTAACCTGCTTAGTGGCATTAAATGGCTTGAAAGATCAAAGACAATTTTTAATATAACTCCGACTGGATTCGTCTGAAAGAAGAAAGTCATATACACCTAGGATGCCTCGGGGGTGAGTAAAACACAGCCTAATTTTCATCTTTGGGTGAACTAACTCTTTAAGGCACATTTATCCCATTATCTTGTTTCAGTGGGCACTGCTCTGTCTGTATAAAGAGCACACAGTCTATCTGGACTCCATGTTTTCAGCAGTAATGAGTGTATTGACAGGTTGCTTTGTTTGTGTGTGCAGGCAATCGTTGCAGCGTTTGCAGTTTCAGGATATTCCTCCACCTATTATAGAGCAGGCAGTAAACCCTTTAACCCCCTTCTGGGGGAAACGTATGAATGTATCCGTGAAGACAAAGGATTCTGCTTTTTTTCTGAACAGGTACGAATTAATGTATCTCTCTCACACACACACACACACACACACACAAACACTATAGCTGCAGTACCTGTTCCAGGTGAGTTCATGTCCTTCACTGTAGCACTGCACCACTTCCTCTGTGTGTGTGTGTGTGTGTGTGTGTGTGTCTGTTTGCTGGAGGCAAGGCCATCAATAGTCCTCTGGCAAAGGTTCTTCCTGCGTGACTTGAAAAGGGTCTTTGTCAGCAGTGAACTTTCCCACAGGCTGTGTGTCTGACATAATGCAGTGTGTTCATAGAGGGCCGTGATGAGAGAGAAACACTTGCACAGGCTCACTGTAGTGTAATCTTGCTTTATCTCACATCCACACACTCTGGAATAAACTGACCGACATGTGTCTCTCCACTGGAGTCTGAAGATCTGTGAGAATGAAACCGATTCCCCTGCAGCCCTTCATTTTACCCTTCAAACTTTTGTTGTTTTCAAACTGAATCAGCTGAAGAATTACATTTTTAATTTAATATTGGCCTTTACAAAGGAAAGCAACCATTCCAGGGGAACAACTTGTTTACCATATTCTTCATTCTTTCAAGCAGATTTTCAAGCAATTTAGATTAATCTTTAGGGCTACTAAAGTGATTCAGTCAAGAGTGTCAACAGTCAAGATTTTGTCAACAATCAACCAGTGTTTCCCCTGCCATTATATTAGCCCCCCGCCCCCCTTGAAGGTCAAGTTAATTTTATTTAATTATATTTTCTCTATAGCGCCAGATCACAACAGAAGTTATTTAAAGTTACCTCTCCGATAGAACAGGTCTATACCTTGTTTTTTATTAAGCAAATTAAATAGCCTTATGTTATTTATCTTATTTACACGACAGCATGTCATTTCGGTCACTACGTTATGGTCGCTCTCTCTGCATCACCTACAGCGGAGTTCTGCCCGATGTGCGTGCGCACACACACACACACAAGTGAGCCCATTCCCACTAGTATTTGTAAATATTAAGCTGCAAAAAGACTATTTAAACATGAATTCTGCATGTCTCTGTGTTAATGAATGGCACAGACGTGCGGTTTTGTTTACCACTCGTACTGAAGCGCGCGTGACGCTTGTGGTGATTTTAGCGTCTGCCTGCTCACTAAATTAGGACATAAATACATGAACAACATCTCCAGAACTGCTCTGAGAGTCACTTCATTGACATTTGACCGTTTCATTTGAGTAAAACTATCCTCATATCATATACACACAGAAATATAAAGGTATTCACGGCAACCCGTCAAAATAAAAGTTCGGTTTAACTTGAAGACATTACGGCAGAAATATAGCCTATTACTATTGTTCAGTAGAATGTACGTAATAGGCTACTTCTACTACTACTAAAATTAATAAAACCTTATTTTTAAGGAATAATCATACAATATTTCTTCAGTGTTTTAATTGTAATATTAAATGACCTTTATTTTCCAAAAAAAATTAATTGTTTAATTGTCTGAGCAAAAAATCATAAGGCTATTGTAAGAATAAATGAAACTTGTTTTTATGCTTTCAAATAATTAGACATGCTAAAACAGAATTTGGTAACAATAAAACATAGAGTCACTTCATTGACATTTGACCGTTTCATTTGAGTAAAACTATCCTCATATCATATACACACAGAAATATAAAGGTATTCACGGCAACCCGTCAAAATAAAAGTTCGGTTTAACTTGAAGACATTACGGCAGAAATATAGCCTATTACTATTGTTCAGTAGAATGTACGTAATAGGCTACTTCTACTACTACTAAAATTAATAAAACCTTATTTTTAAGGAATAATCATACAATATTTCTTCAGTGTTTTAATTGTAATATTAAATGACCTTTATTTTCCAAAAAAAATTAATTGTTTAATTGTCTGAGCAAAAAATCATAAGGCTATTGTAAGAATAAATGAAACTTGTTTTTATGCTTTCAAATAATTAGACATGTTTAAACAGAATTTGGTAACAATAAAACATATGGTTGGAAAAAAATAAAACATTTCATAGGGCCCTATACATGTAATTTTTGCTAAACTTTTAATAAATTGATGTTAAATTGTTTAAGTTTCATGATTTCAATTAAATAGACATGCTTTTTGATTAATAAAATTGAATTTAACCATTAAAAAGGAAAAAAAACAAAAACGTAAACCTAGGGGAAACACTGGTCCAAGATTTTTTGTCTTTCTTTTGTTGCTTGATTAACATCAATGACTCGGACAATAGCAAATAAATTAGACTGCTATAACTTTAAAACCAAATGCATGGATGCAATGTACTGATACACGTTCTCCCTACCGTTTACGTTCACTTAAGACATAATTGATTGTGTTAATGTGAATAATTGTCAAAACAGACAATTCAACATCATTTTGTGTGTAATTCTCCGTTCATGAGACGCGAAAAAGTAATCGTTGCTGTGTGAGATGCGCTTTCTGGGTGTCTGCGCTCAGAAAACCGGACCGAATTTAGTTCTCTCTTGCATCGTCAAATTTATCCATATGTCTGCTCTTCTCTTACTTCCACATTGACTTTTTTTAAAGTTTTATGAAGCATGCAGCAAGTGTATGTTAGCTTATGTCCCACCAGTTCATACGCAACTATGCATCTAACCTCCTAACCACGCAGCAGATTTGTTCTGAATAAATCTCTTCCCAAATCGTTCCCCTCCCTAATATTTTCGTCTCATTTTTATGCGTTGTCAAAAATGTCAATAGATTTGCGTCATATTTTTTGTCATTCAAAACGAGTTTTATTTCGTTATCATCTTGTTTTCGTCTGTGAAAAAAATTGTTGACGAAAATTGACAAATTATTCGTTAACGAAATTAACACTGGTATGCATAGAGCCGAACGCACTTCTTTAGATATTGTGTGTAAACAGGTGCTCAAAACATGCGCCCTAGTAAGTTTGGTCCTTTTTCCTGTGTCTGCACCATTTTCTCTAAGTTTATGGGTGATAAAAATGTATCTGTATTTGCTTAAACTACAGTTGTGAATATCTCTTAGCCCCCATCTCTTAAAGGGTTAGTTCACCCAAAAATGAAAAATTTCATTCATAATACATTAAAGCCTGTATTTTACTCACCCTTGAGCCATCCTAGGTGGACTTTCTTTTTTCAAACGAATCCAATCGGAGTTATATAAAAATTGTCCTGGCTATTCCAAGCGTTATTATTGTAGTGGGTGCGTGTTTCTCTTTAACAGTCCAAAACACGTTAAATAAAGCACACACATCCATAATAAAACGTTCCTCCTACGGCTCCGGGGCATGAATAAAGGCCTCCTGTAGCGATTCCATGCGTTTTTGTAAGAAAATATCCATACTATGGATATTTATATTAATAAGATATACAGTGGGGGAAAAAAGTATTTAGTCAGCCACCAATTGTGCAAGTTCTCCCACTTAAAAAGATATGGACCAAGAGGTCCACTTCCGCCTTGCCAAAGATCTCCCAAATTTTTTTAACTGTCTGCAGATGAAGCATCCACTCCTCTGAGGGGACTTTGCTTCGTGACAACATGTCCGCTCCTTGGTTCAGTTTGCCCGGAAAGTGCGCTGCTTTCAGCGAGCGCAGGTTGAGCTGAGCCCATTCCAGGAGGCGCTCTATCAGCACAAAGAGGCGCCTCGAGGAAAGCCCTCCATGGCGATTTATGTAGAATTTATGTATGCTGTCCGAGCAGACCAGAACGTGGTGTCCCCTCAGGTCTGGTAGGAAGGTTTGACAGGCCCGACATACTGGCAGCATTTCAAGGCTGTTGATGTGAAGACCTTCCTCCACTTTCACTTTTTTGTGCTGATAGAGTGCCTCCTGGAATGGGCTCAACTCAACCTGCGCTCGCTTTTGACCAGTGGCCGAAAGTCGGATTTCCTTTGTGCAGAGCTCCCCAACCCATGTTGGAAGCATCTGTGGAAACCACCTTTCTCCTGCAGACCATTCCCAGGGGGGGTGCCCTGTTCCATCCACTGAGCGTTCTTCCAAGGGGTCAGGGCTGTTACACAGGCCTGGTCTACCCTGATAAGCAGGCGTCCGTTGTGCCATGCATGAGATGGAACCCGCTGTTTCAGCAAGTACTGAAGGGGATGCATACGAAACAGGCCCAACTGTAGCACTGGAGATGTTGCGGCCATAAGGCCCAGCATATTTTGAAAGCTTGAGGGGGCGATAGGCACCGGCCTTAAAGGAAGCCATGAGCTGCTGTATGACCAGAGCATGCTCTGTCGCGACCACCGCTCTCATTTGGGTTGAGTCGAACACTGTTCCCAGGAACAATCCTCGTTGGCTGGGGGACAGTGCACTCTTGGCAAAATTGACCCTGAGCCCCAGGCATTCTAAGTGGCTAAGGAGGAAGGCTCTGTGAGATAGTGACTCGGCCCCCAACTGGGCCAGAACGAGCCAGTCATCGAGGAAATTGAGAATGCGGATTCCCTTCTCCCTCTTTTTGTGAAAGTGCGTGGAGCCAGGAACAGTCCAAACAAAGGACCATGTATTGATAAGCCACTCAGTCAAAGGCAAATCTCAAGAATCGCCTGTGGTGGGGGGCTATCTGGATGTGAAAGTAGGCATCTTTCAAGTCCAGAGAAATGAACCAATCCTCTGGCCGGATTTGTGAGAGAATCTGCTTCAGTGTAATCATCCTAAATGGCCGTTTCATGACGGCGCGTTTCAGGCGTCTGAAATCGAGGATGGGCCGCAGGCCACCATCCTTCTTGGAGATGAGGAAGGAACTGCTGTAGGAGCCTAACTCGCTCTGAGCTGGAGGCACCATCTCTATGGCTCCCTAGTGTTTTACATACATAAGATACAGTAAGAACATGAAAAAAGAAACAAAGTAAAACAAACTGACAAATACAATAAAACAAAGATACAAATGAAATAAACCATGCTTTAATTTGACATATTTTTGTGTGTATTTGATCATTTGGACACACATTTAAAATCCAAAGTGTAATTTGCTTATCCATTTTGGAGCACGCACACACAATTTAGCCTAGGGAACAGTGTCTCTTGCACAGATTATTGTGCTTTCAGCGTTTTATCATACATGTCCCGCAATTTAGCAACAGTAAAGACTGCATTTTACAACAATCACTGATTGTGCTGATTCTGACGTTAAGTTTGGGTTTTAGGGAGGAACGAATGTGCACCGATGTGAAGGGAAAGAAGTTGCACTAGACGAAACGTGACTAGTTTTTAATAATTTTACCTCATATCTTCTTTTTTATGATCCTTGGAAGCCAACATCGAAATCAACAATAAAGTTGGCTTAATATCAGAGCCACAGGCCTAAAGTGTAAGCAGACGTTTGGATGTTTAGTTCTCTCTTCTATCATCACAATTAACCTGTTGAGCGGTACGATCCCACATATGGGATTTTTATTTCCGTGCCCCTGGGAGTACGGTCCCACATATGGGATTTTTATTTCAGTGCCCCTGGGAGTACGGTCCCACATATGGGATTTTTATTGCCGTGCCCCTGGGAGTATGGTTCAAGTGTGCCGGACGAGTCTTAAAAAGTGAAGCCATTGCATTTCGATCGCCCCCAGGTGGCTGGTCCCAGTATAGGTCATAAACCCCGCCCTCTCCATGCAATCTAATGGGACAAACTAAATGATTAAATTTCACTTCAAAAATTTTTTTTCCAAAGAGGGCTTTTGTCATTTGATGTAGATTTTATCATGCTGATGTAAGTTCAAGTGTTCATTTTTTTAAAATAATTTTGGTTTTAGTTAGTTAAGTGATGCTATAAAAACGGGAGTATGACGTCATGATTGACAGCTGAGACTGACAGCTTCTCTGAGTTAACTGAGGCACCAACAGACTTTTTGGGGATCTTTAGGAGGATATTGGAGTTGTATTTACCTTATTTTAACACAATCCTCTCAGCAGACAAAAACTGGAGCAGTCAGACTAATTAAAACAGGGTCAGGGGCGTATGCTTGCGATCGACTCTGCGGGAGTGTGGGCGGGACGCGGCTCCACTTCGCTCGCTACTGCGCACACTCTGGTCCCGAGTTCTCTACTGCGCAGACTCCGGTTCCAAATGAGCGCAATATGGCCGCGCCCTGTTGGGACAATGGCGGCTTCACTTTTCTTCAATGGAATAGATTGAATAACTGCCAAATTCAAACTGCGTTTCTGCGCTTTGGCTGACGCTGAGACGCCGCTGCACTTGTCATATAATCAGAACTATGCAGTGTTTTTAAGCACATAATGTTTATTTAGGTTTCAGACATTTAAATACACAATTACTAGTAAAACAATACATTTAGAGTTTGTAAAATACACGTGGATGTTTATGGAAGTAGCAATAACAATCCATTTAAATATAATTTGTTGACGTTTTATTAATATCAGATACACATAGTGTAAGTAACAAAGTTCACTCTATTCTTCTCCCAGTTCACCGGCCACTTATTTGCATGTATTTCGGGAGAAATTTATGAATTTACGTGCTGTAAATATGACTGACAGGACACTGCAGCGCGAACAAACATGGCGGCGCCCATCTCACGTTACAGATCACGATCAAGATCATTTAGAATGGTTTTTAAAGGACAAAACACTCATTTATACATATTTGTGAATCGGAATATCAGATAGTTGATGATATGGTAAGCAAGTTTATGAATATTTTGAAGAAAAACTAAATAAAAGCGATCCATCTGTCATACAGTGTTACTGTGTGTCACATGACAAGTGTGTCACGTGACAAGCATGACGCGTCGACATGGAAACAATAAGGAGAAAAGTTCTAAAATAACGGTCGCCTAAAAAAACTCACTCTGGGGGAACCGCTAGAATATTTTAAACTCACCAGTGAAAGGGTTAAACAGGGCAATCATAGACAAATGCATCATAAAATGCATCATAGACAAATGTCCTATATGTTTTATATTGCATATAAAAACCGCTGGCGACTCTGGCAAGATAGAATTGGCAAGATAATGTCTATATAGCAATAATAAATGCATGTGTATTTTCTTAATTTCTCCAGTAAATGTCTCAACAGCAGAACCATTAACGTCAGAGCTTATCGATACTCCGGCCTTTCATAATTTAGCCCCAGGGCCCATTTAATACTGGGTTATGGTATCCATCTCTACCGATAGGTCTAACTCAATCTGACATAATGCCATCTTTATCACATGGCACAGCTGATTGGTTCTTTTTGTATCAGCAGCCAATGTGTGCTGCTCAACATTTCAGAAATCCTCCACCTTCCCCAGCTCCACCTGTATAGATCTGCTACGGGGTGATTCATGTATGCCATATGGGGGTTATTCATATATATGTGCAGCAGCAGTATTTCTTGCATGCTTACAGCAACATGTTGTGGATGTGTTGGCAGTAACAAAGCTCGGTACTTGCTCTGCCGCAGCAGCAGCGTAGCAGATCTATTCCGCCAATACCAAACACATTAACATTGTCATGTATATTACCATACCAAACCCTCCGAGAGTTGTCTAGTCAATATTAATTTGTGAATTAATTTTGCTATAATTTTGCTTCTTGCTGTGCTTTATTAATAAACTTGTGCGGGTGATTACATCTTTCTGTCTGTGTACAGGTGAGCCATCATCCGCCCATCTCCGCTTGTCACTGTGAGTCACAGAACTTCACCTTCTGGCAAGGTAAGACTGATACCACTCCTATATTTAACTCTCAAAGACTTTTTATTATCACACTCAAGTGTGTGTGTGTGTGTGTGTGTTTGTGTGTCAGACGTCAGATGGAAGAATAAGTTTTGGGGAAAGTCTATGGAGATTCTTCCCATCGGAACAGTGAATGTCATGCTGCCCAGGTACAGTCCTGTTTGTTTCTCTGCACCATTTATTCACCCTGCATCTGTCCCTTCGTCTCCCTGACTCTGTGTCATGTTTTTTTGCATGTGTTGGCAGTTATGGTGATCACTATGAGTGGAACAAGGTGACGACGTGCATCCACAACATTCTGACCGGGAGGCGATGGATAGAAAATTACGGCGAGGTCACGATCAGAAACATCCGCAACACTACCTGCATCTGCAAACTCACCTTTGTTAAGGTAAATGCTCATCTGCAACAGCATATATATATATATATATATATATATATATATATATATATATTAAAAAAAAAAAGAGGGGAAAGCCTATCGTGTGTAAAA